ACAATAAAATTAATTTTATAAAATCATTTTATTAAATTGAGTTGGGATTTAAAGTTCAACTCAATAAAAAATAATTATTTTTAAAATATTTGTTAACTCAATCAATTCATTTAAAAATGATAAAATTATCATATATATATATATATATATATATATATATATATATATATATATAATTTGTGACAAATATTAAATAGATATTCTTAATAAATATCCTCATGTAATTATACTGATATTTAATATCCGTTTTTTAATAAGACGGCTCAAGTATTATGGTATTCAAATACTTATTATCTGTTTATAATTATTTTTTATATTCTTTTTCGGATATATAATAATTATTAGTGAATTTTATTTTAGTATTTTTTTATATTATGTGATCAAAATAAAGTTATTAGTAAAATAAATATTAATTATTAAAGAATTGAATAAAATTTGATTTCAGATGTTTTTATTTTTTATTTAGGTCTATAAAAAGTTACTTTTAAAAAATTAATTTTTTAAAATTTATATTCAGATGCAACTTATTCAAATTGCCATTGCATTAATATTTAGTGAGTAATTTTATTTGAATGGTACTTCAAAATTAATTTTTTATTTAATTTTATATTTTTAAAATTTGTTTTTAAGTCATTTTTATTTAAAACTAAAAACATAAATATATAAATATTTGTGAGTATGGGTACTTGTAATACTCAATGGTAATGAGAAAATTATTTTTTAAGTGGAATAAATAGTTAATAGAAACTACCTATACCTTATGACCTGATATAATTTTCATCATCTAATATAAAATTGTTATGAGATCACTTATAAATATCTACTTCCACGTTTGATATGCATATGCCTTAACATATAGTATATAAATTAGTGTAAACTTCACTTTACAAAGTATTTTTGTAAGGTTGAGTTATATTTAAAGTTCATTTCTTAATATGGTATCATTGTTTTAGTGTTAGTATATAACTAAATGTAAATCTTATCTTATAAACAAGTAATAAAACTAACTTAGTCTCACATTCCTCACAAATTTTGGCCACCACTTATGCTACAAGAAAATAATGCATTATTGATGGACACAATATGTCAATTATAGCAAAAATCGTTGAAAATTTGAGTTTTCCAATGACAACAAAAATTCATTGATAAATTTTATCATTAAATCACAAAATTTGTCAATAATTACCAACAACCTCAAATATGATAGAAAATATATGTCGGTAATTACTTATGGATTATAAAATCTCTTCCTCCTTTTCTTCTTCAATTTTTTTTCTTTTCTCTCGTGTCCTCTCTTCCTTATTTCTATCCATCGCTAATGTGGTTGCCTCATTCTCCATCACCACCTTCAAATCTTCATCCTTTTCCAACTTTAGTCGTCACCACGTCATCGTTCTCATTATACCTCCTATCCTTTCTTTTACTCTTTCACATCTTCTTTTTTCCTTTTTCTCATTTTCTTCTTCTCACTCATGTTCTATTATTATATAAAAATCAAAAATCTTATCAAAACTTATGAAAAATTTGTCAATCATTTTATCAAGAAATTTATTAATAAAAAAATATGTCGATAATATATAAAATTATCAATTAAATTTATTGACAAAATTTATCATAAAATATATACAAATTTTAATTTATTGCAAATTATACTGATGAGTTTGTTATTAACAAAAAAAAAATACTTGTTGATAATTTAAATTTTAAAGTTTATTAATAAAATTTATCAATAAATTTAGATTTATTAATAAAATTCAATTAATAAAACTCTGTTAAAAAATTATTGCAATGTGCAATATCTTGTGGAAGTCTTACTGCAAAACCAAAAGTAGTGGCTTCGCAGTTATTCCAGTGAATTGCATGGCTCATTGTGCAAGATCGTCGCAGATGGAAGTCTACAAAGATGTAGAACTCTATAAGGATGTATAGATGTTGAGTTATATACTTTCGGGAATTCGAGAAAATTGTTTCATGTTGGTTAGATGGTATGGTGAATATTTGATGGAAAGACATGGAAAAGGAATTTGTAGAAAAACAAGTTGAAATGAGTTATTTATTAAACAAATTTAAAATAAAATTACAGTACACAAATTTAAACAAAAAGTTGTCAGTTCAAAGCACCTTTATAGTAAATGTATGTATTTGAAAACAATTCTACAACCAGATACAGTATGCAGATCACTCAGTGAATTTAAATATGCATCTATTATGTATGACCCACGTAGAAAGTCAACCTCTACAGTGAACATTTTAAATGAGATTGTAAAACATATCCCAAACTAAATTCAAATCAAAATTTTAAATTCAAATACATTAAAAGTTAAATTATATAATAAAGTATAAACTATTTTAAAATAATATATACCAATATTATATTTAAATCAAAACTAGTTAAAGTTATCGATTAAGAAATAAAAAGAATAAATAAGAATGGGAGAAGTACACACATCAATTATCGAGATAAATAGAAGAAATACAAGAATTCTAAACATTAAGATTGAAGTCTTGTAGTGAGTTTGATCTTTAGTAATTTGATAATTATTAAACAAACACGAAATAAAAATATTTATTTATTTTATTATTATTAAAAAAAGTTATAAAATATATTTATTTATTTATTTTAAAAACGTTACTTCTGTAAAACTATAAATACTTTATTATTATTATTATTTATTTAAAATAATAATAATATTAAATAAAAGTAATCTTCAAATTTTAATTTGTTTTCAGTTTGCAGTAATATCCGAATAACCGTTATTTCTAATTAAGTCCAATGGTTTAATCGACTTCAAGGATAAGCTAGATCACTTCATCAACATTTCTTATAACTCTCACTTACCTCGAACACTCAAGACTATGAAGTTATAAGGTGGTAGACATAACATGAACTTAGAGTAATAATATCTTCACCTATTTAATATTAGATAGTGGTAAAAAAATTTATTACCTACAAAGTGTTAATTACTCAATAAATATAAATAAATAAGAAGACATTCTTTCAAACTGAGAAGAGTAATCAAACCAATCATAATAAAGAAAACCAAAATTTTTCAAGTTTTTATTTTAGTTGATGGATGAGATGAAAGGTCATGCAATGCTTAAGTTATACTGGAAGAGAATGAAAAAGAAAGTTTGTAGGTATTCACTTTCTACACTTGGAGTGTAATGGGACATTAAAAATAATCATCTAATATTGGTTTATGAATCTGAATGTATATAATGAATGAAACACATAAAAGAAGCAAGAGTTGTATATCCTTTCCTTTACATGATGCTCTAGGTGTGATCTTGTACAAATTTTTTTGTTCAGTTGTGAATATATTTGTATGACCATTAATTTTGTAAATTATTGTGTTTCTCTTCCTCTCTCTACATATTTATTACAAAAAAACAATTTAAATTAAATAATAGAAAAAATGAGATTATATATCCAATTTAAAAACCTAATTAACCTTAAGAATTATAGTCAATTATAAATAAGAGGTTCTCCAAATCCAATGTCAGACAAGTCATTAATAATAAATGTTTTGACTTGGTCTTATATATCTTAGTTCAAACAATAGACAGATTTCAACTTACAATATTTATTATTAATAAATCATTATAAATAGTTAATATAGTAAAACCATCTTTCAAAACCTGGAGTTCTGAAATATTGAAATCAGAACTGTAATTATAAACCATTTATTTATGATTAAAAAATTAATATGCAATTTATTGGAATTCTTATATCAGATGCCATATTTACTCACTGTAAATATTTATGGATTTTTCCTTTAAAAATATTTTAACAGTAAAATATTTATCATTAAACTATGTCTTAAATTTGTATAAGTTAAAAGTATGAAAAAAAAAATTTACTCATGAAAAAAAAAGTATTAAAACATTAAAATATGATTAAATCACATAAATTGTTAAACAAGTAAAAAATTTAACATAAATTATTTCAATAAAATGAATAAATTTATTCCACTCATATGAGAAATTCTTATAATTAAATTTATGGGAATATTTTAACCATTATTACAAAATACAACTTTAATAGTATACAACACTCATTTAAAGTCTAATAACTTTGTAATATCTATAAATTTGTAATAACTTCGATTTATATGTTAATTTCTAATAATTTTTATTCAACTTTTGTCTTGATAATTCCAACTAGAGAGTTATTTAAACAATAGTGCCAATGTCACCTTTGCTGAACTCTCAAGTTTTTATAAACTATGTTTCAAAGTATATTAAAACATTAAAATGTGATCAAGTGTTTTCAAGTTTCAACTTATCTATGGGTGTTGATTTTGTATATCCGTATGAATAAGGATAGACTATATTCTTAAAATTAAAAAATAATAGAGAATAAATTCTTGGATATTTTAATTTTATTAAAGGATCTAAGAAAAATTATAAAATGTAAAAATCAAAATAAATATTAAGATAAAGAAAAACTATAGAGTAGATTATCACTTGGTTGGTAGATAAATGAAAGCAAGAATCATTTGAAGGGCATAAGATGAGTGAAAAGCAAGAATCATGATCACCGACGGTCAGGTCGTGTTATATGCTGCGACATCTAGAGTAACTTGGATCACCAAAGATGAAATAAAGCGCTGAAGTGTATTTCATGTGAACCCTAACAGGATATAAATAAAAAGTAAAAAATAAAATAAAATAAAATATGTTCATTAATTAAATATTTAAAAAACAAACTAACATTATTTCTTCTGAACGAAGAAAAGTGTGATATACAGATGATAAAGGGAACAAAAGAGTCTGAGATCTTCAAAGAGATTTTCATATTATTCAGTTTAAGTAAATTTGTGTTTAATTTCATATTATTCAGTTTAAGTAAATTTGTGTTTTTAATTAAACGCAAACAATTTTCTTACAATTAATTTATTTATTTGGGTACAAATACTTTTCTTTGGCTTTTTATATTTTCTTGAGACGAGATGTGTTGCAGACAGTCGCCATAAAATGGAAAACAAAAGAGAAGATTGTAGAACAAATTGATCCATTTGGTTATTGAAATTTGGATTACCAGCATCGCCAATTGCAAAAGCAAAAGAAAATCACCATAACAATGGCCATATATAACATGGATAAACATTTTCTTGATGGCCCACCAAACCATGCATAACAGTACACAGAAGTCGTTGCTTCCCATCAGAAAACAAGAAAATTAACTCTCTCTTACATCTTCTTTCAGTTTATGAATTAGCTGAGCAATTGTTTGGAAGTAGAACCGAAAACTTGACAAGGTTGGCAACCCTTCATTAACAAAGAAGAATAGTTAACGTTGTTGGAGTTAGACATCCCTATTGGAAAACCGACAGCAGCAACAGTATTGTGATTGTGTTGTCTACTTGCCCCAGCCTGTTCCAGTGTCTGGACCTGTTTCTTTAAGAACTTGACGTAGTGAATGGCCTCGTCCAGCATCGAAGCCGTGTCCATCTTGGTGCCACCTGGGACTAATCTCTGCAGAATCCTTATCTTCTCGCTTATCCTTTCCCTTCTGTGCCTCGCCGCCACGCTCTGCGGATCCTTTGAAATCTTCACGTTCCTTCGCTTCGGTGGCTTTATGGATTCAGGGTCTATGTGAATAGGTTGCATCACCGCTATTCTGAATATCATTTCCCTCATCGCCGCCATAGAGTTTTTCTTCTCAGAAGGGTGGGGAAAGGAAGTGGTGCTAGGCTGTGCGGGGTGGAGAGAGGGTGTCATAGGTTGCTGGATAAGGCCGTTGTCATTGTTGGAAAAATTGAGAACATTTGGCGGTGGTGGATCAACGAGAGTCGGTGGAGTTCCGTTATTGAAAATGGTGGAAACACTTGTAGAGGAGCTTCCACTGGATAACATGTCGGGTTCTGTGTAAGGTGGGGTGGTAGTATAAAAAGGGTCGCAGAATTCGGAGAACTTTTCCATTTGCATCATCATTGCCATCACGTCCATGTTGGTGGTGTCACACGCGGAAGCCTTCACTATGTCCACATCCATGAAAGATGAGAATGGGGAAGGTGAGAAAAGAGAGATGCAGAGTATGGGGGCTCGCCAAAGGGGCACTGGATGTAGGGTTTGTATCAGAGAGAAAAAGAGAGAGAAGACAGAAGGGTTAAGGGGGTGAGAGAGAATAAAATAGTAGAAGGAGAGTGCAGAAAGTGCAGAGGATAGAAAGAAAGATTGTTATTTATCTCTGAACCGACCAACAACAACAATATCCAGCAGGGTCACTGTAAGTGGAAGCCCTTTTTATAGCAACTTGTGACTGATATTTTATCTTTGGAAACTTGAGGAAAATCTATGAACCTCTCTCATTTATGATACTTGTTTTTACAAAAGTAAAATTATTGTACTGTGGGGGGGGAATGAGTTAAGACTCTAAACATTTGAGGTAGTTGTAAATATGGAAATTTGGTTAAGATGTAGTGATAATTATAGCTAAGGAGACTTAAAAAAAAACCTTGATACTAGCATAGAAATCATAAGAGAAGATGGTGTCTGTAAGTACACAGTTGTTACTCAGAAATTGAAAAATATTAAAGATAAAAAAGAGTTGTGAGAGTATATGTATGTGTACCTGTCTTTCATTTATGGTGATTGGATTTACAGTATTATTAATAGTTATGATGAGCCATGGAAAGGGGGCACGAGGTGTGTGGGGTTGGGTCTAGAGAAGTTTGGTCTTGCACCGTTGATGGGGGTAGAAAGAGGAGAGGTCAAAGGGTGGGGGCATTAAAGATGAAGGGCTGAGAATGAAGAGGGACCACATAGCGGTGGAAGTGGGGCAGAAGGATGAGTTGAAATGGTGGTGCATGAATCAATCAGAATTGTAATGTATCGATGCTTTTGACTGAAAGGGGTTTGCTTTGGTAAGTTGGTTTGAAATTTTACTAGTTTGGTTTGATAAAGGAGCCAATGTAGCCCCCACAGTCACATGACATATGTCAGAACAAAACTGGAGATTAGTAAATTCACTGCAACCTTCAACCTTACCTCCGCCACCGTCGGGACGGGCCGCAAACACAAAGATAGATCAAGATAAGGTACGGTGGGCCTCCGCTGCGTATATACTTGCCAAAATGCCAAAAAATAAAACAAAGGACAAAACCCTCTACCACTTAACCAATAAACACACATCATCAACCTTCCGCTTTCTTTCATGTTAAACCTCTGACTCAACTCATTGTTTTAGTTTAAACACCAATTTTAAATAACTTATAAAAATAATTTTATAGACAACAATCCGGGGAAAACCTTCTCTCGCCGACAATATGGAAAATAGTCTGTAAAACAATAACAAATCTGTCTGGTTGGATTCTATAGATCATCATCAGCTTTAGTCTAATATTACTTTATTGATTATTTTTTCTGTTTGATAATATTGTTTGAGTGATGTTTTAAAAATGTGTGTTGAGTCACAGGCATGAAAGGGTAGGGTAATAAGGAGTTATAAGGTGATGGGAAATTGGAGAAATGAATTAAAAGTTTGCAATGTGAAAGGTAATAAATAAGTTAGATCCTGACGAAATAAGTACTCAAATAGTCACTGGTGTGTAAGAACGCTTTTCGAGGTAGATTGGGAGCTAGCGGTGATGCGTAATTGCGGACCCTCCTTCTTTCTACTCTGCACTCCACCCACCACTTACTGCACCTCTGCATCCATCTTTTAAATCACTACCATTTGCTCTTTCATCAATCCTTTCTCATTTCGTCGTCATATCAAAATAACAAATTTAACATATTTTCGGTTTATAATAATCTTCTAAATCTAAATTTAATTTCCATTCAAATAAAGCACGAACAAGTGTTTCATTTAATATCTTTAAAGAAAGTGTAAAGAAAGAAAGTCATGCTGCTTAACCTTGGCTGTACTGCTAACTGTTTTGGCAGACCTTTTTCAGAATTTCTAAATATGCAAAAGAGCTTTAGCAATTTTGGTGCTTTTTGGCTTGCATCAACGTGTGCAAGTCAATAAATTTTGTGTTCTTTTAGCATAGATAGTTGGTCAGTAGAAGTACAATCTGAACGAACCGTGCTTCTCCCTGAATCTTATTTGTTCGAAAGCCACACACGCGTGGACATAACATAACAATATGGAAACGTATGGTAGAAAAAAAAAAGCATTATAATTTTTGGAATGTTGGAAAGCACGATGTATGAGAATGAAAAATAGTGTATATTATTAACATTAACGCAATAATGGTTGAATATGTTTGGGGGGAAATTATGATTCAAAAGATTGGGGTGTCTAATAATAGTATGTGGATAGATTAAAATATAAATGTTAGGTTCTCTGTTGCTGGGACCGAAGTGAAAGAAGGAGACAAAAGATGCTTAAAGGAATCAGAATTGAATATAAATAAAAGTGAGAGAAGAGAAAACGAAGAAAGGAGGATGATGTAAAAAGGACAGGAGATAAGAAGATAAGGTGTTAATTATTATAAATACAGGGAAAGTGGTCCCTTATTTTGATTGATATATAAATATGATATATGATGTTGAGAATTAATTTAGTTTCACCCAAAGAGTGTGAACCTTGAGGAAAAGTGAAGAAGTAAAGTTTGAGGTTGTCTTGGTAGAGTTTTTATAAGATAATAATTGTTACTATGGCAGTGGTAGGGTGATAGGAAGAAGAAAAAGAAGGGAATACAGTTAAAAAGTGTTGTTTGCACTGTGTCCAATGTCTAGTAATAGTAGGTTGGGTTATTATAAAGCTGCAGAGTCAACTCCAAAAAGGTTAAAATGGGTTGGCATTCTGCTTGCATTTCCAGTACTTTCTTTCTATTTCTAGCTCAACTAAATAGCCAAACCCTTCCTTTTTCAACCACCTTCTTTCCTCCTCTTTCTCTTAATCAACAAATTCTCCAAATTACTATTTCATTCTCCAAACTAATTCCTTTCAATCAAACCAAACTTGCCTCTCCTCAATGATCAAAACTATCTAATCTCTCTTTAAAATAATATAAGCTTCCTTACACTTTATTGCGCATCCTTCATCATTACTTATACTATTTCTTTTTCTTGCTTTCGTGTCATGTCAAAACTATCATAAATGGAAAATCAAATTTTGTCCTCATCTAATCAATAAAAGATAATAATTTAGTGAGTTTTTTTATCAAACCGAGTTCATTGTTAACAATAATGCGAGGATTTATTTCTTAAACATTTACAATAAAAATAAAAATAAAAATAAAAAAAGTGTTCCAACCAAGCATAGAAACATATGCTCATTTTGACACATTGAACGATTGTCCAAATAGATGAAATTATAAGAATGTTTTTGTGTCATGATCATGTTGCAATGGCAACTTGCTTAACATGTGCTTGGTGATGGGATGGAGGATATTTCTTTATTCTTTTACAATTTTTTAATTAATTATAGAATATCGAACTTTTAATTATACTTCACTGTATTAATGCTAAACTAGACATAATTAAAAATAAAAACTTAGAAAGTGGTTAGAAAATTCAGTAATTTAAATTAATAAATATGTTTATAAAGACTAAAAATATACAGAATAATGTTTACACAAATTTAAAATGTATTACAATTCTCTTGAAAATATATTATATTTACGTATAACGTATAACGTATGACGTAGGGAAGACAAAAGTCTTGAGAGGGTTTAATTTCATTAAAGAAAACCAATATCTCAAACAAACTTTTCTTTTAGATTACAGTGCATGATGTCTGTTAATTAATCAATCCACTGGTGACATGAGATTTCAATACAAAGTATACTAGAATTTATACAATTCCTAAACAGAACTATATGCATTTAAGAGATAAATTTTCAACTAAATTTATGGAATAAACTTCATATAATTACTTGAAAGTCCATACACTACAATTTGTTTTATTAAATAAGTTTTTGTAAGTCCAAAACTAACCTAATTAAAAAATTTATCCTTGAAATTTTTTCAATACTTTTTATCTCTAATATAAGTCAATTTGGTTTTAATAATTCGTATACTTATTCTATTAATGCGTTGACATGTTAATTTTAAAAGTTTCACTCTAAATTTAAAAGTAATTAATAAAACAATTTCATGATCAAATTTTTATATTCATTGTATATTGAAGATTAAAAAATTAGATTTACTAAAAATAGATAAACAAAATTTAGTTAAACATTCTTTTACTATGATAGGAGACGCTATTTGCACATCACGTTTTTTATTTTATTTTTTTTCACTTGTTGAAATATTTAAACTCTCTTCTTTCTTTCTTTAGCTTTTCCCAGATGTTGCTCAAATTACTTTTTGTAATGCTACTTTTGTATTAGATAATGCAGCTATATTTTATACATTATGAAAGTCAATTTTCATTAAGTAGTTATGTTTTTATAATACTATAAAAACTAGTTTTCATCATCTTTTTGTACCTTGAGAAAATTAACTTTTGTGATTAGTTATGTTTTAATACAAGAAACTAGTTTTTATAATATGATTTTGATTTAAATATGCATTTAATCTTTGTATTAAAAGGAAGTTTGGATCTTACTTTTTCTAAATAAATTTATTTGTTTTGTTTCTTTTTATAATTTAAAATTTTTATTTTTTATCTTTGATTATATGACCATAGCTTACTATTCATGTGTTAATAATTAAAAGTCAAGTGATCTTTCCAAGAAACCCACAATACAATTTGTGATATAATATTATCATTTGACATCTAAAAAAAAACTTTTAAGATCCATAAAATAAAAATTATTTACCAATCTAATAATAAATACTTGAGATTAAAAATAATGATTGGAAATTTTAAAGGGATGGAAATCAAAGAAAAAAAATTATATATACTAAAATCAAATTTCACACATTTCATGAAGACTCATTTGTTTTAAATTTTATAGGGATGAAAATAGAGAAAAAATTTAGAAGAATCAAAATATAAAAAAATGTACAACAATTAAAAATATTTAAGCCTATAATTTTGTATATTTTGTTTTCATAATGTATTAAAATATATAATCTTTTGAAAACTAATTTAAAACAATGTATTTGTTTTTAATATAAAACATACAATCGTTTTTGCAAGGTAGTTAACCTTCTTGGGTCATACGTTTCTTTAAAATAATCTATTTTCAAAACCTTTTTTTCGAAAGGGTACATATGAATAGATGGTGCGAAAATGGAAAAGGTGTAGATAGCAACTCAAGTTTATATAGAGTTCAAGTCCAATTAATTGAAACATTGAATTTCTTTTTAAAGTCTGACTTCTTTCTGCAACCCATGAATTTTTTTTCTCAACCCCAGTT